TTTTATTTAGCCAACTTTGACTTTTTCCGTTAAAGATGATAAATTTTGATCCATTATTTTAACTAATATATTTATGTACAAGTTAATAAATTTATACTTTTATGATAATATTTTTAACAAAGAACATTTTCATATAGATTTCATATTATCAATATTACCGTTTATAAATATATACGAAGTATATATATATATATAATCGGTCAAAGTTGAATAACTTTGACTTGAAAAATAGTACTCCGTCAAAACCATACTACATCACGATCACAATACTCCTTCCGGTTCTTATTAAAGTTCTCACTTTCCTTTTTGGGATGTCTCTTATTTAAATTCACACTTCCATTTTAGGAAACAAAACAGTGCCAAACAGTGTCCAAACAGTGCCAAACAGTGCACTCCACAGTAAAGTTAAATTCATTTTCTTAATATGTGTGAAGTCAAACTGGGAACTTAAATAAGAACCGGAGGAAGTACTATTTTCCATTGTCGAAGCCTCAATAGAACCAATTATCTGGTCTGCTCTAATTCAATTTAATCTGATCTATCTAAGATAAATATCATATTTGACTTACTCCATATTTGACCAATAAGACTTACTCCATATTTGACTTGATAAATATCATATCTTTGTGGATTTTAAAATTGTCAAAGACTGATATACTACGTATAATCTTGTCAGAAAAATCAATCAAAATAAAAACATCCCGTTTTTTAATAATTATTTTCAGTACAAATACCAAATTGTTTGAATTCCTTTTAAGAATATACGTAGAGAAAACCAAATTATCTTCAGTTACGTTCTATTCGTATCATTTTTATATATTTATAATGGAATATAAAATTCATTTTCATGATAGACAAAAGAATATAATAAGCCTCAAAAATAGAATCCAATTCTCCAAGCTAGCCTTGATCACAATTTAAACCCATGATTAGAGTCTGGTTCAAGACTTATAATCGTATTGTGATTTCTAGTCTTTGTATTTCCTCTGGTTTCTGGTTTATTAATATGAGTCATATATTTACAATCGAAACACTTTAAACCCATGTTAGGTTTATTAAAGAGAAACAAGGTAAACAATTAATCAAACCATATATACTCGTAAGTTGGATTTTGCATTACTTTTCATCACACAAAAGTATACATCATTTATTAGGGTTTCGTATGGCTACTCCAATCTGCAACCATGGGTTTTTCACACACATACAGAAGAAAAAGCATCAGTCGAGGCAGATCAAAGATCAAACCCTGAAACTAACCTTGAAATAATAATAAAAAAAAAGTACAGTATGAAAATACAACAGAAATACAGCTTTGAATTAAATTCAAGAAACATATAGCCAGCTATATATATAGCTTAGGTAGGAAGCAATATATGTGTATATAAGGAGTATCGGACCATGATGCTTGATTCCCCGGGATAAGAAGAGAGAAAGACATGTCTGGGTAACTTCAGCTGAACGGATCAACCTGAGGAAACCCTAGCTAGCTAGTTCTTGAAAAAAACCATCTTTTTTAATTTTCCATCTGAATCTTCTTCTTCTCCTTCTTGTTGTTGTTCTTGTTCTTGTTGGAGATAAAGAGCGATGGGATTTGGTGAGGTAGAGAGGTGGGAAGGGGTGTGGGGGAAATGGTAATGATGGGAAGGAAGAAGGGGCGTCAGAGAGGTGGAGGAAGACATTATGATTGTTCTTTGTTGTTTGCCTTTCCAAGCATTGCTCGCTAATAAATCCAATATATTGCATGCGGGCCCCATAACTCCCACACTCCTATCTCTCTCCATCGCCCAACCTGCCGCCCCGGCCCCACCCGGCCCGGCTAGCAACGTAGTGGAGACACCCATGCGCGCGTCCATGGATTCGTATTTCTGGGTCGAGGCCCGGCCGGCCTGTCTCGTTATGCTCATTTCTCATGCCACCCTTTCACGTATCACCTTTTAAGATATCTATAAATAAAACTCAGACCGCTTGGTTGCACTCTTGCCCCCTAAACATTCGTACTCCATCTCATTCTAATTAGTAATCGCTCATGTTATTTGTACATCATATTTTACATGCCGATCAAATTATTTGTGTACAAAATCGTCAAAATCAATTTTGTATAAACAAAAATAAATTGTCTTTGTCATAGACAATTTTGCCCACAATTTTTTTAATACCTTTGGCGGAAGTGAAGTGTACGTGGAACGTGCACTAGACTGCTCGGACATGAGAGAATTTGTCTTCGGGGGCTACCCACAAAGGTCCATATCCACAGGGGAAGGAATACTTCTCTTTTATGAAACTTGTAACTAACAAAGGGAGGTTTTAGGATTGCATTGATTTAATAAATTAAACACTAAGATGGAAGACTTATGTGGTTGAGGTTAATAAAATTAAAGAGTTCATTTTGCTACATTTCATTTGTTGATACGTTTGTTGATCTCGGTTATATCTTTAATGTATCCTCTCTCAAATACTCAATCGAGAAGTATTTCCAATTCATCAAAGGTAGTTATTAATAACGAGACCGTTCATTAACAGCGAAATATAGAACATTGTCATATAATGACTTGATAGTAACATTTAATCTTTAACTCTTTGATAAAATAAATTGAGACTAATAACTTCAACACAACAGTTTCGGTTTAAACAACACAGTTAATCCCTCTTAAGATAACTAACCATGAGACCATTAATCCCGACTTGATGGGATTAAGGAAGAATTAACATTCAAGACAAGAAGTTAAGAAAATAACTCACAACTTAAACATTCAACAAGCTTCAAGAACCCTTTCAAAAACAACTTCAAGAACAAAATCAAAAAATAGGAGTTAGCTCCTCATTTGGAGACTAAACATGCTAGAAAATATAAAGAAATTACTATTCTAAGTTGAGATAGAGTATATTGAAGAAAGGATGATGAAATGTGAAGGAAAAGTGTGCTATTTATAGATGTTTTCACCAAACCGCACCTGATACCCGACAGAGTCTTGGTCAAAATCAGACAATCTCACGCGTCTCTGTGTTCTTCAGAACATCTGTTTGCCCGGATCAAGTCATACTCGACCGAGATAAGTACATACCCGACCGGGTATCAGTACAATTTCCTAACAGCTGTTGTTTTCAATTCATACCCGACCGGGTAAAGGGTCACACCCGACCGGGTACGTATCTTTTCTGGAAAGAATCTTTTGTGTCCAAAAAGCTCTCCTCCTTTGATATCAATTTCACCAAACTTATCACTACTTTACAACTCATAAATGATTGCTAATCTAACTCAAACTAATGACTACAAACTTTAAAATAAAGGTAAACCATCATGAGAAACAAAAGGTTAAAACATACACTTATGCACTAACAATTAGTGCATATCAAATGTTCATGAGATAACTCTGGAACCAGACTCGCCAGCGGAACAAAAATTGAGATGTAATCCTCCACTATCCTAGTCTACTTGACTTAGGACAACCGTTCAAAACGTCTGTTCTTAAATCGTGAGTCAAATCGCGCCACCAACACTTGTGTGAACCCCTCACCTCCCACGGCATTTGAGGCTTCCGCACCATTAACCATGTTAACCAGTGCAAGGCAACTCTGTCTTAACCAGGTTAACGAGTGCAAGGCAGATCTGTCCATCGTGACCATAGCTGCTGCCACCTTTCGTCCGGCCGGAGTCTTGTTTAATTCAAACTGTTGTTCAGTCCTAGCGATCTAGGTGATAGGGTCTTCGCCATCAAAGAAGGGAAGAAAGGTGAGTGTTTTGCTGCGCGATCCACTGTCGCAGGTGTGTACCGCCCGCGCGGCTTTGGAGAAGGTTGATGATGATAGCTCCTCTGTATCCGGCGGCACGAGTGCTTTTGTGAGCTCAGCCAGGCAGGCTACGATCTCTTCTTGTTTAGGTCTGTCAATGGTCGGCTCCGGGCCGGAACGTAGTGTTCAGATCCGGACCTGCTAAGTCAATAAAGGACTTGGACCTGACCCGTATACCCAGCAAGTCTGAAAATTTGGATCTGAACCCAAACCCAATGGGTCTCAAAACTGGGTCGGGTGGACTCGTCAAGTATGATATGCACAACATTATAAAGTTGGTGAAAATAAAAAGACATGCATATGAAATGTAAAGCAAAGTGCGGAAACTTAGAAGCAAAATATATCTTCACTTTGAAAAAAAATCAAGGTTTCTCATAGAAAATTAGTACTTTTATCCAATAAAGTATCGGTTCTCGTAGAGACGTATAACTACACACTCTTAAATTTGTCTCTTTCTCGCACATAGAAAGCTCGTAAATGAGACTAGAAATTAGGTCACAAAAATGTCTCTTCGACTACTGAGAATATAAAAGCATATTATATATGATAACGATATAATAATATTAATAATAATAATACCTCTGTTTCGAAAAGAAGCTCACTTTTTCCTTTCATGGACGTCCCAAAAAAAGTTACCAATTCTATAAAAAGAAACCACTTTTAAGTAAAAAGTACTAACTACCCTTACTTTTTATCTACTTTTTACTTGATTTGACATAAAACAAGAGTATACTTGGATATTCAAAACACAACTCTAACTTACGACATAAATATGTGAATAGGTCAAATTAGGAAATCTTTTCGGGACGAAAGGAGTAATAAATATTGGCTTTGCCTACCAAGCCGAATACACGCTTTATCAGCATGTATAAATGGCCAAAATGGGTATTAGCTTTAGGGTATATCACTATCTCGATTAGTATCACTAATATAGTAGATATGTATTAGTGTGTATCTTTTTATTTAAAGAATTACAAATTTACAACTAATAACTTTATGTATTATTATGTATATGTGTGTGTGTATTAGTTTGTATTTTTTATTTGAAGTATAATAACTAATCACTTTATGTATTAGTGTGTGTCTTTGTCTATATACTAATAAGAAATTTTATACGGGTCGGGATGTCACGCCCCGGACCTATCCGGACACGTCAACAACCCGTTGTACAATACGGATAATCAACCACAGTCTAACACATCCATATTATACAAGACGTCTTGAATATTATTCACACATAAGTCATTCATAAACATACATAATAAGTAATTTAATACACAGCGGAAAACATAGTCTAAAAACAAATGCCACATGGGGCAAGCATGAGCACGCAGGCTCTATAGTGAAAATATCCATGAGCATGTTTAAAATGTTCAAAAACAGAATGGAGCAAGCACGAACCAAGTCTTCCCTCCGAGATGATTGCCCGATCAACAAGCACAGGTAGCAAGCTCTAGCCTCAACCTGAAATGGTGGTGGGACTCCCCCCCCCCGAAAGGGGGTCAGTACTCTATACGGCTATGAAGTAGTGGTGTGGATGACATCTAATTGATATACAACAAGTATTTCAAACACAAGACCCTCAAATAGGGTTATAATATAAGATAGGCCGTAACCCCAAGTTACCTCTTTTCAAAATATACTTACTTTATATATAAAGTCAAGTAGTCAGCCCGTAGGCCCAAGGTTTGTTTACAAAACATAACCCAAACCTCGTGACCCCTAGTCACAACAATACATAAGGTTCAACACTAACACATATGTTTGCATTTCTTGAGTCCAACTCAACTACATCACCATGCATCGTATATGACGCAAGTTAATTACTCCACCGTGCATTTCTTGAGTCCAACTCAACTACATCACCATGCACGTCAATCACAAGTTAATTACTCCACCATCTCCGACGTCATGTTCACCCATGCAATTCTAGAGCTCGGGCTCAAGTACATCTTCTTACATGGGCTGAACCTAAACCTTATGTCTACCCAATGCAATTCTAGAGCACGGGCTCAAGTACATCTCCTTACATTGGCATAGACCTCAATTCTTAAGCACTCGTTATGCCTAGAATTGTAATATCAATAATCTATTTTGGGACATCCTTACGGACTGCCTCATCATGATCTTACATCATATGACATCAATTTAATCACTTGCATTACAATCAAGTACATCAATTACAATCAAGTCCTTAGATTCAATTCCTTAACAATTACAACAATCATTAACTAGTATTTCGATACTATTAAGATTATTCTTATCCATCATACATTCCATTTGTAAATCCCTACATATTTAGAGATATGTAGCAGCAACTTAATCATCCAATGTAATATATAAACGATCATTTATGTATCTACACAATTCACACATGAGTAAAAGTACATATTTCACACAATAGTTCATTTAACTCCATTTTTATGAGTATGTTTCCAAATCATTTCCCATTTCATTCTTTGGCAACTATATCAACATTTCATCAATAATTTATCATCACAATCCATGAAAACATGATTTAGATGTTTAGGTAATCTCATGCTTAACCTACAAGTTGTAAGCAACTAGATGTCGATCATCACCTCAAATGAACTTTAAATTGTTCCTTCTCAACCCAATGCTCAAGCTTCGGTGTAACACTTGAGATTTAATTTAAACAGATTAATAGTACTACTCATACCAACAAGATGCATCTCCTTTTAAGGGAGCTCATTAGCCAAGAACTCCAAAGTTAAGCGTGCTTGCACGGGAGAAGTCTTGGGATGGGTGACCCTCTGGGAAGTTTCTCAGGGCGCGCATGAGTGAGGACAAAGTGCGCGGAAAAGGCTAGTGGCTGTTTGTGAGGACAGTACTAGAGGTCAGAAGTAACTACCTCGGGGCCTACGGGGTCGGGGTGTTACAGGTGGTATCAGAGCAACCCTGCGACAGTGTGTTGACCTGTTGGATATCGGGCAGGCACTTAGCGGGGGAAGATTCTAGGATTTGATTGAGATTTGAGATTGGTTTATGGGTGCAACGAGGACGTTGCGTTCCTAAGTGGGGGTGATTGTAACACTTGAGATTTAATTTAAACAGATTAATAGTACTACTCATACCAACAAGATGCATCTCCTTTTAAGGGAGCTCATTAGCCAAGAACTCCAAAGTTAAGCGTGCTTGCACGGGAGAAGTCTTGGGATGGGTGACCATCTGGGAAGTTTCTCAGGGCGCGCACGAGTGAGGACAAAGTGTGCGGAAAAGGCTAGTGGCGGTTTGTGAGGACAGTACTAGAGGTCAGAAGTAACTACCTCGGGGCCTACGGGGTCGGGGTGTTACATTCGGCCAAGGGGTTTGAGACTTGATTCCTTGCTTATAAATGAGTGTTAAAAAGCCTCCTCAAGGTGCTAGCTCAACTCCTAACCGAAGACACGAAAACAGCCCCTAGAACAGGTGTTTTCCGGCGAATTTGTTCCCTAACCTTTCAAGGTTTTGTCTAGGTTAGTATCTAACCTTTCCAAAAATTAAAGTTACTTTGCAATAACATTTTATACACTTCAACCAGTTTATAATAGTTCTTCAATCATTTATATGATTTAGACAATAGAGAGGAATGTTTTGGATTCAAACTTACTTTGAATACCAAAAACGTATTCTGCGAGGTTGCGCTTTGTTCGGACGATTTGGAGGCCTTAAATTGATCCGTTTTCTTCAAACCGCACATCCATGGATTCCTCGTTTGGAGAGCTTTCAGTGGAAACCTCACACGCCCTTATTGGAAGAGTAAAACTCAAGATGTGGGTCTAACAAGAAGACCTTCGCACGGGAATTCTCCCTGCGGCAGCTCCCTTATCTCTCTCTCTCTTTGGATTGTGAGGCTCTCCCTTCTTTCTTATCCTTTGAGTTCGAAAGTTGGGTGAGGGGGAGGTGTTTAGGATCTCTCAAAATAGGGAAATTCAATACATAAGCATTGAAATTTAGTTTGAATTTCTAGGACGTTCGGGTGCAGTGTCACAAGTTCACCCCTCCCCCCCCCCCCCCCTTAACAGGAATTTCGTCCCCGAAATTCACAATGCTACTCAAATAGGAAAGCGTATTGCTCCCTCATGAAAGCTTCAGTTTCCCAAGTCTCTTCTTCAACTCGGTCACTTTTCCAAAGGACTTTAACCATTGGAACTTCTTTACTCTTCAATTTCTTTACCCTTCTATCGATGATCTTGACCGGTTGTATGGCGTAGTTCAAATCCTCACGTATTTCCACCGGCGGCTTTTCCAATACATGAGAAGGGTCATGTATATACTTCTTCAGCATAGATACGTGGAACACATTGTTGATCTTCATGCTCCTCTTCACTCTTGGAGTATATCAGAATATCGTCAATGAATACTATCACAAATTGATTTAAGTATTCACTGAACACGTGATTCATCATGTCCATGAATGTCGTTGGTGCGTTGGTTAGGCCAAATGACATCACCAAAAATTCGTAGTGACCATATCTAGTGCAAAATGCACTCTTAGGTATGTCACTCTCCTTTATCTTCAACTGATGATACCCCGACCTCAAATCAACCTTCGAGAATATTGTTTCCCCTCGAAGTTTATCAAATAAGTCGTCAATTCTCGGTAAAGGATACCTATTCATGAGTGTGACTTTGTTCAACTGTCGGTAGTCGGTACAAATTCTTAGTGTGTCGTCCTTCTTTACGAAGAGTACGGGTGCCCCACACGGTGAATGACTGGGTCTAATGAACCCGTTATCCAAAAGCTCTTGAAGTTGCACCTTCAACTCTTGAAGCTCGGCTGGTGCCATTCGAAAAGGAGGAATCGAAATGGGTTTGGTTTCCGGCTCAACTTCAATTACAAACTCTATCTCTCTATCGGGTGGAAGCCCCGATAAGTCCTTTGGAAAGACGTCCGGATACTTGCACACAACACGTACATCATTGATGTCAACTTCTTTCTTTGTGTCGTGTACCACATACACGAGGTATGTGTGGCATCCCTTCTTTATCATCTTCCGTGCCCTCATCACGGATATGATACAAGCTTGAGATTTTCAATGATATCCCTCGAAGCATAACAGGTTTCCTTCGTCATCTTCAAGCTCCGGTACTTTGGTGTAACAATCTACTCGGGCACGGTGCCTCTCGAGCCAATCCATCCCTAGGATTGCATCGAACTCCAACATACCTAGAGGTACGAAATCACAAATCAAAGGTTGACCCGTCACTTCCACCTCACATGATGGATAGTAATGATTCCTCTCCATGTCATCTCCCAATGGCGTGGAGACTAACAAGGTTTGCGTCATTGGGGTCAATGGCACGTCAAGACCTTCGGCAAACTCCTCACTCACAAATGAGCGTTGTGCCCCGGTATCGATGAGGATCCTCGCACTTCTACTGTTGATCTTTAATGGTCCTACATTTATACGCCATGTAAGATACACCTTCTAATGTTTTTGGACCCTTTTTGGAGGTCATTACGTTTACATTAATGTTTGGAATCAAACGGGGTCCAATCGTAGAAGAACGGAGCGGAAAAACCGAGTTTCGGGCGACGGGGGTCCACGCACGGTCGTGCGTGCGTGAAAAACTCAGATCCGGCCAGTGCCGGCTACGCACAGTCGTGCGTAACCGGACACGCACGATCGTGTGTCCATGCACGGCGTGCGTACCGGCATGCACGGTCGTGCGTCCTGCGCGAACAACACCCCGGAGCTACTGCCCCCTACACACGATCATGTGTGGGGTTGGACGCACGATTGTGCGTCCCTGTTTTCAGCCAGTTTTGGCCCGATTTCCCCCCTGTTTCACCCCGGGAGAGCCCGCACTCAATCCCTATGACTTATATCGTCAATTTATGGACTAAACATGAGGAAAAAATACCATTTTGCAAGAAATAATATCGGCAACAGAATCCGGGTTAGCTCGAGCATCCGCTTCCGTCATCGCATAAACTCTGGCTTGAGTCCTTCCCTGGTTCACAGACGGCGCGTTACTCGCACTTGCTCCCTTTTGTCCCCTGGATGCTTGGGAAGCCCCGGCTTGATTCCGTGTCCCGGTAGTAGCACTACTTGGTCCCGATGCTCCTGCTCCACCCAGTTGTGGGCAACTCATCTTCATGTGACCGGTGCTCCCGCATTGGTAGAATCTAGGAGGGTCACGACATTTCCCCAGGTGGTTCCTCTTGCAATTTTTGCAACGAGTCACCCCCGAGGCTTGTGATTTCCCGCCCAGGCCTTGGCTTCCCCTAGATGGCAGTGGGTGTGCCCGAAAGGATCCCCCTCCTCCATGATTCCCCTTTTTGTTAGGACCCTGAGGTCCATGGTTTTCCAACTTTCTCTTTTTCGCCTCCTCAACGTTTTTCAACTTTCTTTGTTACCATTCCTTTTCTCCTTTCAATCCCTGCTCGACCACTTGGCTAAAAGTCATGTTAGGCAACTGTGTTGCCCTCTCACGCACCTCTAAGTCTAAGGCATCCCAGAAGTGATTAACCATCCGGTTCTCGTCACAGACATACTCCGGTATGAACTCCGTGAGCTCCCTGAATTTGTGATCAAGTTGCCTCACCGTCATTTTGCCACCTTGGGTCTGGAGGGTATACTCCCTCCTCTTGACGTTCACTTCAAAATCAGAATAGTATTGGGCAAAGAATTCATGTCGGAAATTCTCCCAAGTCACGGTCCTGCCATACTTGCCCTTGACCCCGTCCCACCATGTGGACGCCATCCCTTCAAGCAATCTCACTGACACCCTTAGTTTAAACTCAGGGGTGAGTTGCATATCAAGGGCTGTTTCGTTCAGCCTCTTGATCCATTCGGCGGCGACCGAGATGTCACATGTTCCGTTGAAGGGTTTGCACCCCAAGTCTCTCACCTCCTTGAGAAATTTTGAGATCCTTATGATTGGACCTCCATCACGCCGACCCCCATGTGGTTCAATGCGGGCCCTAGAGTCGCCATGACTTCTTCCTCTTGAAGCCCCACCCGAAGTTTGTCCTCCTCGGTGCCTTCGGCGTTCCCTCCTTTCCTCGCGCTCTCTCTGGTATTGCTGGAGCAGCGCCTCAATTCTTGCTAGGGATTCATTCTCCCCCTCCTCATCACTCACATAATCGTCATCCCCTTCGTAAGGGGTCTCAACCAACTCGGTCTCCGGTCGATAAGTCGAGTTCTCATAAGACCAGTAGGTTTCACTCTCGGTGTCAGCATGACCGTCACTCACGGTCTGCGATCGGCCTCCACGGTTCGCCCCTCTAGATACTCTAGAGGCCCCACGGCTTCCCTGCCCGGTCGCCACCGGTGCACGGCCCGTCGGGTTCCTTCTCGTAACCTTGCCACCACCGTCCATTTCTGAAAGAAATTTTGGAAAGAGTCATTAGACCCGTATCAAATGTCAATTGACGGGTAGGTACTTAAGACACTACTTGGCTCGAATTGCCGCCATACCAATTGCTAAGGGTACCATCTTAACAATTAGAGACCTTGCAACTCAAGTACCAAAAGTTCTATAAGTACAAAACATTTATGCTCATGGTTTTCAAAATCATTTGGAAAAAGAGAATTTTGAGTCTTCATTATGAAGTTTATGGACTAAGTCTCTGATACCAATTAAATTGTCACGCCCCGGACCTATCCGGACACGTCAACAACCCGTTGTACAATACGGATAGTCAACCGCAGTCTAACACATCCATATTATATATACAAGGCGTCTTGAATATCATTCACACATAAGTCATCCATAAACATACATAATAAGTAATTTAATACGCAGCGGAAAACATGGTCTAAAAACAAATGCCACACGGGGCAAGCATGAGCACGCATGCTCTATAGTGAAAATATCCATGAACATGTTTAAAATGTTCAAAAATAGAATGGAGCAAGCACGAACCAAGTCTTCCCTCCGAGATGATCGCCCGATCAACAAGCACAGGTAGCAAGCTCTAGCCTCAACCTGAAATGGTGGTGGGACTCCCCCCGAAAGGGGGTCAGTACTCTATACGGCTATAAAGTACTGGTGTGGATGGCATCTAATATATATACAACAAGTATTTCAAACATAAGACCCTCAAATAGGGTGATAATATAAGTTAGGTCGTAACCCCAAGTTACCCCTTTTCAAAATATACTTACTTTATATATAAAGTCAAGTAGTCGGCCCATAGGCCCAAGGTTTGTTTACAAAACATAACCCAAACCCCGTGACCCCTAGTCACAACAATACATAGGGTCCAACCCTAACACATATGTTTGCATTTCTTGAGTCCAACTCAACTACATCACCATGCACCGTATATGACACAAGTTAATTACTCCACCGTGCATTTCTTGAGTCCAACTCAACTACATGACCATGCACATCAATCACAAGTTAATTACTCCACCGATCTCCGACGTCATGTTCACCCATGCAATTCTAGAGCTCGAGATCAAGTACATCCCCTTACATGGGCTGAACCTAAACCTTATGTCTACCCGATGCAATTCTAGAGCACGGGCTCAAGTACATCTCCTTACATTGGCATAGACCCCAATTCCTAAGCATTCGTTATGCCTAGAATTGTAATATCAATAATCTATTTTGGGACATCCTTACGGACAGCCTCATCATGATCTTACATCATATTACATCAATTTAATCACTTTCATTACAATCAAGTACATCAATTACAATCAAGTCCTTAGATTCAATTCCTTAACAATTACAACAATCATTAACTAGTATTTCGATACTATTAAGAGTATTCTTATCCATCATACATTCCATTTGTAAATCCCTACATATTTAGAGATATGTAGAAGCAACTTAATCATCCAATGTAATACATAAACGATCATTTATGTATCTACACAATTCACACATGAGTAAAAATGCCTATTTCACACAATAGTTCATTTAACTCCATTTTTATCAATATGTTTCCAAATCATTTCCCATTTCATTCTTTGGCAACTATATCAACATTTCATAAATAATTTATCATCATAATCCATGAAAACATGATTTAGACATTTAGGTAATCTCATGCTTAACCTACAAGCTGTAAGCAACTAGATGTCGATCCTCACCTCAAATGAGCTTTAAATTGTTCCTTCTCAACCCAATGCTCAAGCTTCGGCCAAGGGGGTTTGAGACTTGATTCTTTTCTTATAAACGAGTTTTAAACAGCCTCCTCAAGGTGCTATCTCAACTTATAACCGAAGACACGAAAATAGTCCCTAGAACGGGTGTTTTCCGACGAATTCGTTCCCTAACCTTTCAAGGTTTTGTCTAGGTTAGTATCTAACCTTTCCAACAATTAAAGTTACTTTGTAATAACATTTTATACACTTCAACCAGTTTATAATAGTTCTTCAATCATTTATATGATTTAGACAATAGAGAGGAAGGTTTTGGATTCAAACTTACTTTGAATACCAAAAACGTATTCTGCGAGGTTGAGTTTTGTTCGAAGGATTTGGAGGCCTTAAACTGCTCTGTTTTCTTCAAACCACACGTCCATGGATTCCTCTTTTCTATAGATTTCATTGGATACATCACACAACCTTATTGGATGAGTAAAACTCAAGATATGGGTCGAACAAGAAGACCTTCTTACTGGAATTCTCCTTGCGGCAGCTCCCTTATCTCTCTCTTTTTGGATTGTGAGGCTCTCCCTTCTTTCGTATTCTTTGAGTTAGAATGGGGGGTGAGGGGGAGATCTCAAAATGTTATCTAAACATGTGGTTCACAAAAATAAAAGGTAGGGTGTTTGATTGCAACCAAACATGGGATGGTCCTCCTCTTTTATTTCTCTTTTGTATTGTTTGGCCCCTCAACTCAATAGGTCCGCCTCATTTATGTGTTCCAACTTATTCTACCCGTTTTGCAGGTTCTAGGAAGGCATGGGGCGTCCTCTTATGTCCCCTAACTATCTACCAATAATTAGATAAATATTTACCAATACTTCCAAAAGTTGAAAGATGGGTCCTATTGTTTTTGTCTTTTGTCATAAATGTACTTTTTATACTCATCCTCATTTATTTTGATCAAGTCAACTTTCTACATCATATTATTGATCTCTTATATGTGTAGGATGGTCCCAATAATTTATATGATGTATAATTATAAAAGAAAACCATATTTAGCTTAATAATGCCAAAGATGGGACCATAGGCATTTGTATTCTCCTCCAATCATTCCATCACTTATTTATGACATTAATATTCATGTAGCTGGGCTACTAACCGTGTGGGTCACCCTCCAGTGGGTCTAGGACGTCATTCTTGGATAATTGCTATTTTTAGCAGGTTAGGCCCAAAATAACATTTGGGCTGTCGACCGCTCTTACTTTGTACCGGGGGGTTATATATCTTTATTTAAGAATATTGGGCCCCAACATCAATAAGATGGCTTAATTAATTATTTGGAAGTCCATTACTATTATACGAGCCCAAACAGTAATATGATTAATCATACGTTACGTAAAACTTTAATCGTTTTACAATTGTTCGATAATAGGGAAATTCAATACATAAGCTTTGAAATTTAGTTTGAATTTCAAGGATGTTCGGGTGCAGTGTCAAACGGGATCCTTAACGGATCGAAATCATATGTACCATACCCGACCCGTTAATTAAAAATTCTAACGGGTCCGGGTTTCGGTACGGGTAAACGAAATAAAATATAGACTCATACCCGTTAAACACAACCGGATTTGATCGGATTGGGTTTGGGTCTAGACCCGATCCATTGACAGATCTATATATTCCAGTTGGATGTCTTGCGCATCCAGCTTCTGCCCTTGCACATCGAGTTTCTACCCTTACGCGTCGGGTTTTTGATTCATCAAGGTCATTCGGCCTCCAACTTCATCAAACGATCGTTGTGAGATCTCATCATTCCAATGGGAACGGGATCCGTCGAACGAATGGTTGAGAATGGAAAATAAAAATCAATGGTAGAAGTCGTTGCCCAGAGCCAATTTGCTGAAATCCAATTTATTACTCCCTCCGTCCTGGTTGGATCTTTACGTTTGCTTTTGAAAACTTGAACAGTTTATTACAAACCCCCTAGACTTTTCCTTATATAAACGGGACCAACATAGGAGGAGGAGGAGGAGGAGGAGGAGGAGTGGGAGGAGGAGGAGGAGGTTATCTGGTGCGCTGCTATAGGTTCTCTGCGGAACCAGATGTATGCGGCAATGTAATTTCCGATGCGAGTCTCAGTTGAGTACTGGGATCGATAATCAGGATGTGAGGTTTAATTATTTCAAGGGCAAAATGGTAATGTGGAGTCCTATTTAGGGAATATAAAATATGAAGATATATTTTGGAATTTTTACCATGTTTTAGTCCTATTTTGGGCAATTACTTTTTATATTACTAAGTGGAAGCTTATTGACAAAATGAAACTCATTTTAAATATTCTCTAAAAAAGACGTATATGACTTTTATACCCCTCACCGACCCTAGTTACAGTTACCCGGTAGGCCTGTATGAAGATTTACAGTTACTTCATCCGATTATAACAGTTACTCGCCCCGATCAACTACAATTATCCGAACCGAGCACTTACAGTTACCTGACCTAATGAGTTACAATATTGGGATGAACCATTTACAGTTATGCGATCCTATAGTACCAATGTCGACCACCATCGCCAACCACCACTGATCCTTTAATTTGTCGTGCCACCACCGCTGGAATCCAGTGACACATCGCCACCCGCACTCTGTCGACAACCCTCCGTCCTCCAGTAACCAACTGCCGTTAGTGACCGCTCCACACTGCACCTCTCTCGCGGCTAGCCTCCCCAGCCCATAGCCCCATCCTCACCCCTCTAATCCCCATCTCTATCTCCAGCCCTCTCCCCAAGCACTCGTCATCGCATTCACTGACCCAGAGACCCAATCCATTGCAATTTGCCGCTACCGCCGTGGCCCACCTTGAAGCCCTTATGGTTGTCGACGGCTTGCCGCCCATGAGCCCATCAATCATATCATAGCCACTGTGGCTGTTCAAAACCCTTGTTGCCGCTCGAACTCGTCAAGAAACGCCTTTACAAAATAGATGTCTTATCACTGTGAGGGCGGAAAGTTGGGGTGGACCGGTACAAAGAACATTTATATATAAAAAATTCGTGTGGTTTTTTCACCTCAATAATTTAAACAGAATACGGAAATTGGGTTGGTCGGGGCCTAGGTTGCCCCTCCAGCTACGCCCCTGGTTGCCACGAAGGTCGCCTGTCGCTGCGGCTGCCATAGAAGTCGCATGTTGCTGCCGCGATGGAGGTTGTTTCTCGCCGCAACATGGACTCATCCTGATTCAGTGTGGAGAAGCCTGGATGATGGTCGAAATGGCGTCGGTGAAGGTTTGCCACCATGGAAGTGCTGGTGTTAGCTTTGCTAGCAAATGATTTGAAATTGCGATGGAGGTCCGTGAGAGTGTGAGACTGCCAAAGAAAAGAGCAACGAGCTGCGAGCTGCGGTGTTATATTTAGTCCAGATCAGAACCTAGTGTCGTCCAAGTCATATACGGAGTATTTGTCATTCCAAATCTCATACTATCCTTCGTTCTTTAATTCTTTCGACAGTTTGACTTTCACATTTGCCAACACACAATTCTGACTATAGTTATATTTAATTATGTATTAGTAAACATTATAAAAGATTGATATTTTGGAAATTCACATTGATAGGAATTCAATAACATTTTATACATAATAATTTGATTATGTATATTAGTAGAAAATCATGGTCAAAATAAGGTTTATGAATAGTGCAAAAATCACAATGTTGCAAGAATTAAAGAATGGAGGAAGTACTTCATATTCCATGTGTATTATCCGCCTCAATTTTTCATAATCCGTATCGTATTATACAAAATTACTCCGTAGTTAGCTACCTGTAAAAAAAGTTATTCTACATAAGAGGTGTACTATATTAAAACCAAAAGAAAAATATAAATAAAATTTTGGCATTAGAATACAATGGAGGGTATATAGCTCCACACAATTCCAAGTAAATATGAATTTTCCTACTCCACTTTTCACGATCAACCCCCAATTTGGTTTGGTTGACCTTCTTCACTCACCGCCCACCACTCTCTCATTTTTGCGTTTCCAAATCAAAGTTTCATGCATGGAACAAACTAATTCACCTAGTTTTAAATGACCAATTTCATATTACTTCATTTCTCTTCTTCCTCCATCATTCCTCCTTTGTGGCTGGCCCGTAAGTTAATGCTCATTATCCCCGGAAAGAAGAAGAGAGAAGGCGGCCCGAACAAAGCTATACCTTCTTCTTTCCATCCACCAAGAAAAAGAAAAAAGAAAGAAAAAAAGGTCCGGCAAGATGAATGACTTGTTCTCTAATTCCTTTAAACGTTACCAAGACCTTAAAAAACAGGTAGAAATGGATGACTTGGAAGGTGGGGCCAAGGACACGGTGGATCTCGACAAGTTCTTCGATGACGTGGAGAACGTGAAGCGGGACATGAAGGCTGTGGAAGCCCTTCACAAGAAGCTGCAAGAAGCGAACGAGGAATGCAAGACCGCACACAATGCCAAAACCATGAAAGATTTAAGGTCGAGAATGGACGGTGACGTGTCCCAAGTGTTGAAACAAGTCAAAGTCATCAAAGGAAAACTCGAAGCCTTTGAACGGTCAAATGCGGCCTCTAGACGTGTCCCGGGCTGTGGCCCGGGATCTTCCACGGACCGCACGAGAACCTCGGTTGTGAGCGGGCTGGGGAAGAAGTTGAAAACGATGATGGATGACTTCCAAGCGCTGAGGAGTAGGATGAACTCGGAGTACAAGGAGACGGTGGCGAGGCGGTACTACACCGTCACGGGGGAGCAGCCGGACGAGGAGTTGATCGAAAACTTGATATCGAGCGGGGAGAGCGAGTCATTCTTGCAGAAGGCGATCCAAGAGCAAGGGCGGGGCCAGATTCTTGACACCATATCGGAGATTCAAGAGAGGCACGACGCGGTGAAGGAAATAGAGAGGAACCTGATTGAGCTCCACCAGATTTTCCTAGACATGGCGGCTCTGGTGGAGGCGCAAGGGCAGCAACTGAATTCGATAGAGAGCCACGTGGCGCATGCTAGCTCGTTCGTAAAGCGTGGAACGGAGCAGCTCCAAGAGGCTCGGGAGTATCAGAAGAGCTCTAGAAAATGCACATGCATTGCCATCATGCTCGTCCTTGCTCTCATTGCCGTCCTCCTTTTCCCTATTTGGTCCAATCTGTTAATGATTCATTTGAGGTAGATTAGAGAGGTTTTATTAGACTTTACTGAACTCTAAACGTACGAAGCATGGTTATTTTATGTTTTCTTCTTAGAATAACCATTGTTTTCATGATGTATATACATTTTTTTATTCTTGGAAATGTTTCTACATAAATTCTACTACCTCTCTAACACAAAGATCTTCCAATTTTAACTTTTCACGATCTTCTAAGTTGAACTTTAACTCTAAATATCTATATATTTATATTTATAAAATTCATAATAAATTAACATTCAAATAATATGTTTTACAATGAGGTATATGAAATAAATTTTTAATCATAACATAATGTGAGTTTTGAATAATTAATGGTCAAACTTTATAAAGTTTGACCCAAAAGAGTCAAACTGGGAAGATTCTAGGGGTACGGAGTAGTAATATTTATAATATCTCACTTGCATATCTCACCCTCAATCTTCACGGGATGCTAGAAATATTCTTCGATGTGAACAATCAGGTTAAATTGGACATGGTTGGTTCTCAAAACTAAGGCAAACAACGTAACATGGGTTATGCTATGATAGACCCGTCGATGATGTGTGTATATATAATCGGCCAACGTTAATTTGAAAAGTGGCATTTGACTAATAAAAAGAAACCGAGGGAGTATCACTTAATGCATGGTTGCACGGGGTGGCGGAGTCAGAAAAACGGCTCGGGATCGAAACTCAACCTATATACAGAGTGAAAATGGTGGATCGTTTTTAAACATTGTCCAAGTTGAATATTTCATATGCAGTTTAGATATATATATATATATACATTTGTAGTAATAAGACAGATTGTCTTTGCTCTGTTTCTGAGTCGTGTCACGTAAGTATTGAGTGAATTATACCTTATTTTTAAAATTTGGGAAAATAATCTATAGTATGCATCAAATTTTGCTGATTTCACGTTTAGATAGTGCTGATTTTCCGAAAGTCATAACTTTTTACTCGTAATGAGTTGCGGGGACCATAATATATTAAATCGAAGATATTTCAGATCTCTATACACTCAAACTTTTAGCGGGGTCGGATGACTACCCTGACCCTCTGGCTCTGCCCCTGGTTGCACGATTAAATCGATATTCCTAACTAGACATCTGTCTATGTTACCAATTCAAACATATACTCATATGACATTGTTTGAAAATGAATGAATATAGAGTAAATTCCCTAATTAGGAGCTTAACATAACTAAAGTGCAAAAGTAGGAGTCTGATGTTCCGTAAGATTGAATAGGAGTAAAAAATACATGAATGGACAAAACTACCCTTAATGAAAAGGCTACATGTTTATTGAATGATAAATTACAAAATAGAATAATAAATAAAAGCATATACAACACGACAGTTCCTGCACACCACAAGTTAACGCCAACATCAGCACCACCTAGACCTGCCGCCGCCGGACATCACCGCCGCTGGTCTCCGTTGTCACCGGATATCACCGGTCTGCCACCGCCATCTTTGCCAATGTCACCGCCAGTCATCTTCGTTGTTGCCGGTCGCCGACGTCACTATCTCCGTTGCCGCCGGTCATCGTCGCCGCCATCTCCGTTGCCGCCACTTTCCGGCATCGCCACCTCATTCACTGCTGCCGCCGGATTATGTGTTGCCCCGCTCTAGCCACCTTGTCTATTTTGACTCTACCACTGCCCTCCAGATCTGGAAAAATCCTTTAAATTTCCATTTCATCACTTGAATGACATCCTAGTGGCATTCTTTATTAAAATATATGAGGATTCATTGTCATTTTGACATTATAAATATTGTATTGGGAGTGTCATATATTGCCATCTGACGATATATTTGTGTGACGGATATTTGGTTGAAGTAACTAAAGAGATGGATTTGGGAGGTATTTCACAGCCTCAACATATCCCTAACTCTGGGACAGAACTTGAATTATCACTCAATCAATGTTTCATCCCACATCAAATACTCCGTACTATATTAAATTTATAGAAATTAGTGTAAATAGGACTAAAACTATGACAAAAACCCAAAATAAGAGTTGTTATGTTTTTATTCCAAAATATGACCATACTAGCTTTCAAGCCCGTGCGATGCACGGGCAGTATGTAATTTAGCTAATTTGAAATTTAATTTCTATCGGATCACATATAATGTGATTTAAAAGAAAAATAAACTTAGTCTAATATAGAGTCTGTTTGATAATATTAAAGTAAATAGAATTAACTTATTTTGCTGAAATTGATTGAATTCTGATTAAATAGGTGGAATCTTCTGAATCATGAAAAATATATGTGAAATATATTCCATTTGTGAAACAAAGAAAAAATATACTCGTTTGTTATGAAAAAAAGTTAAATTGGTCTTCTACATAAGCATCTCAAGTAAACATAATTGTTATGAACCCAATAATAAAAAAATCTATATTTCTTAATTGTTGGATCTTACAGTTTACTCATTAATAAAAACGTTTTTAATGGAATTAAAATTTCGGGTTTGATTTGGTATGAATTAATATGGTCTATTAGATGTCTGTTTTTTATGTGACTTATTGTTATAATTATTAAAGTTTGATCTGATCTGATTTAATCTGAAACTGAAATCAATCCAATTAAAAACATTCTATTAAAATAAAAGTAGGAATTCGTAAATTCATAAAGATTTTCTAATTTGGATTAGGAATCTATTTCAAAAGTGAAGGCATATTTGAATTTTAGGTGTAAAATAAAGAAACAATCAAAAAATTTACTTATTTGGCTAAGCTAAACATATTTACTTGTGAAAATATATGTACTTTATTTTGGTTATAATTTTTAATTTCATTTTTAATTATTTACTTATTTGAAACTTACTAATTTATTAATAGGTGTCAAATTAATAAGTAAACTAATTTGCATATTTGTTTCTATTTAATTCGGTGTAGTAAACTAATATAAATTAGTTTCCATATCAATAAACGTTATTAGAATTTCACTTTGATAACCAAAAATTATTTTACTTATTTGAAGCTTACCAAATTAATTAAGATGGATTTATAAGGATTTTTGTTTCCATATCAATATGCAATCAAAAATAGAATCTAATAAAAACAAAAAGTATAAAAATAAATAAATAATTGTTATATATAATGACATGGCAGGATTATGTGCCGCTTTGTATGCTCTTAAAAAGTTTCTCTCATATATATTGATTATTCCTATTGGAAACATACTTATTTTTCATTCCATTCTTACTCCTCCTTTAAATATAATTAAAAGGTAGTCCCAAAGTCATAATTTAATGTTTAATTCATAATAAATCCGAAAAAAATTAAAAAATCGTAAAAAAATAATAAAAAATTTATAAAATATTTATAAAATATTTATAAAATATAATAATAATTTTTAAGAGCATACAAAGCGCCAAATAATTTTTTAAATTTTGTTTTTCAAAAAAAATTAAAAAAATAGTAAAACTCCATAAAAAAATGGATGTCTTTCCCACCGCCTGTACTACCTCCCTGCACCACCACCTCCGGCCGGTGTAAAAAATGCCAATTTTTCTGAATATTCCAAAAAAATGGCATATTATTCTTTGAGAATGCCAAAATTTTCATTGAATTTGTCATAAATATGCCATTCCCAATGCATATGGAATTTTCCCCCCAGTTACGGGAGATGGTGGTGCTGGGGCGGAAGAGGTGTTCTTTAGCATTTTTAAGTTAAAAAAAATAATTTTTAAAATTTTTAAATTTTTTTAAAAATAGATGTCTTTCCCACCGCTTGTACTGCCTCCCTGCACCACCACCTCCGACCGGTGTAAAAATGCATTTTTCTAAAAACTGTCATTTTTTTTTCCTGAAAATGCCAAAAAAAATGACATATTACTCTTTGAGAATGCCAAAATTTTCCTTGATTCTGCCATAAATATGACATTCGTAATAGATGTGACATTTTTTCGCGCTAGTGACCGGAGGTGGTGGTGCTGGGACGGTAGAGGTGGCAATGATTTTTTTTGCGTTTTTTATTTTTAAAAAATTATTTTTAAAAAAAAAATCAATTATTATTATTATTATTTAAATGTTTTATTAATTTTTAGTATTTTTTACGATTTTTATTATTTTTCATTATTTTTTTATGAATTAAAACATTTCAATAACAACAAGGGTGTATTTGTCCAACACACATAATTAGTCATATCAAAATATAATTTACTTTTTGGTCCTATTTGTGCAAAGTGAGAAGCGTTTATTCCTATTTTGACAATTAACTCTTAAATGTACTAGGAAATATAATTTGAAAACATACATGATTAATTAAGAGTGACTTTTTATGCACAAATAATTAGACGATATTAGGATCACTTGAAATTTAAAAAAAATGCAAATAGTGAGTAAATAATTTGATCTGATACCATGGATAAGGTCATAAAGGAAAGGCTAAATGGTCAAATAGGTACATGAATTAACTTAAAGTGTTTAATTAGCCCCTTATTTAGGAGCCTCTGTCCGACCGTCGCCAATTGGGGCGGTTCCCGATGAATTTTTTTGATGAATTTTTATTAGCATCTTCTTCATTAAGTCTAGTTTACCCATATCAAATTTCAGCTAAAAAATAAATTAGGAAGGCAGTCAAATGATTTTCCGAAATGTACTGCGCTGTTTAACTGCGCAGTTATCTTCAAAAAATCATTTGACTGCCTTCCCGGTTGAATTTTTAGCTGAAATTTGGTATGGGTAAACTAGACTTAATTAAGAAAATGTTCAAAAAAATTTATCAAAAAATTCCACCGGGAACCGCCCTAATTGGCGACGGCCGAGCAGAATTTCTATATGAAAAGCTTAATTAAATACTTTAAATTATACCAAACTACTTATGTGAAAGATTGTTGTCAATGCAGGGGTGCGTCTTTTTTACAGTCCACTTGGAAGTTGGAAGAACCAAACTAAGAAGACAATTGTGTTAACCGCTAACTCCATCAACCTGGCCGGCCTTCGACATTATTGAGTTATTCTGCTCACGAATGAAATGCTGAGCTGCAGAATCCATAATTTCGCTCCGTTGCTTCCAATCTCTGTTGGGACTTTTTCCAAACACTTGTTGTCTCGGCCAACTGCAATCCTTAAACCCATCAGAAAGTTCATAGTCACCGCCGCCTCCACCCCAGCAACTGGCACTACTTCCAATTTCCGATTTCTCACTTCTTACCAGAAGAAACAACTGAATTCCTACATCGCTTCTCTTCTACAATGGAACCAGGTACCATTCCACACGTTTCTATGTTATGAGTATTACATAAATCCCGTTTTTCTTACTTGTACAGAAATCATTGTTATTGTTCGCAGAAAATGAATCTTACGGCCGAGCGAGAAGAAAGCGAGATCATGGAAAGACACGTCGAGGACTCGCTTGCAATGATTGACCCGATTCGGAATTGCTACATGTCGCGCTGTGGTGTTTCTTGTGAGAATCTTAGGGTTGTCGATGTGGGGAGTGGAGCGGGTCTCCCTGGACTTGTATTAGCCATTGCTTGCCCTGGTATTAATTCATGATATCTCTTCTTGCTCAGTGCCAGTGCAAGCCGAATTCTGCGCCTTTATATTTGTTTGCTTTCCTTCCAGATAATGTTCATTGTGCTGTGAATGATCATATTCGGGTTTGAATTTAAAACTATAATAAACAAGAAACAAAAGTGTCCAATTAATAATGATTTGAAGTCTTTAGTGCCCTCTCTTACGAATTTGACAACACAAGGCAGCTTTATACATTCTTTTTCCTCATGTTCCTTGATGTCCAAAACTCCTCATCCATTATACAACTTGCCCAACATTATAACCCCATCCAAAAAGTATAGTTTTTTGTTATGTACTAAAACAGAAAAACTCTGGTGTATTTTATAGATTGGAGAGTGACACTTCTGGAATCTATGAATAAGCGTTGTCAATTTTTGGAGCATGTAGCTGAGAAGAATAATCTGTCAAATGTGGAAGTTATCAGAGAAAGGGCTGAGGTATTTCTTTGTGATTACCTACCATATCTCATACTAGCAAGTAGCAAGTCATATTACAAACACTCCGTGCAAGTAGCCGGGTGTTCATTTTTTTATAAAATTAAAACTCAAAAGAACAATAAATAATTACACTAAATTTACACACATATATATATTTACATGTTTTTCAAAAGTTTAGGTGTTCATGTGAACACCTTTGATCTAAGGAGGCTCCGCCACTACAAAAAACAACATCCAAGCCTTATTTTCAAAAGATCTACCACTATATAGAGAGAGAATTTAGTTCAGATGAATACATGATCTAAGGAGGGGCATGACAATGATTATGTAACGTTGAAAAAAAAATGTGCACTGCTATAAATTAGGAAATGTGCATTTGAGTTGTGCATTATTTTAACCACAAATGTGCACATTTAAACTTTAGTAATTGTCTTATATAGGACTAAAATCAAACTTAATTCCCTAAATAAGACTATAAGTTTTTAATTCCCTAAATAGGATTCCGGATTACCATTATACCCTCCTATATAATAACAATTCCTAATTCCTAAACACTCATCCGCCTCATTTGATCCACTCTCACTGCGCCTCACCCTCTCTCACGTAAACATCTCTGCCGCCACAGCTTGTTCTCCATCGTCACCACCACTTCTCTACGCCGCCGCCTCTCTAGTGACGCTGCCTCTTCCACCATCGCTGTTGATTTTGCGCCAATTCCAGGTATCTTCTTCTTCTTCTCTTCTTTTTCTTCATCTCCTTCTCTTCCTTCTTCTTCTTTGTCCGCTATTTTTCTTATGAAAAATCATATTCCCCTAGAATCATTTTTAATTTTTTTCTGTAGATTTTTTGTTGATTTATTTTCTCATTTTTTCGGAATTGATTGTTCTGATTTTCACACATAGGCTTCATAGTTTGATTTCATTAAACTTCTTTTGTTTGATTTCATAGTAATTACTGTTTACAGTTTTACTTAATTTAAAAGTAAACAGTAATGTTAATTTTCTATTAAATTAGTTTTCTGTTAGTATTCAACTGTTCAAGTTCACATCATATATAGGGTATATATATATATATATATATATTATGCTAATATATCATTCTTGTTATTTTCTTTCGCCATAGATAGCTTTTTTGGTGCGGTACAATCATGACTAAAACGAATAAAAATGACCCAGCGTGGAAACATGGTGACGAAATTCAACGAGAAGGGTTAAAGGGCAAATCTTATAAATATGTAAAATGTAAATATTGCCTTAAAGAGACCACGGGAGGGGTAACCAGATTCAAGCATCATCTCGCCTGCACAAAACAAAATGTAAGCGGGTGCCCGTCAGTTCCAGAAGACATAAAAAAATACATGCTAGGCCTTTTGAAGTTGGGGGAGAAAACACAGGCAGTTCGGGACAGAGATCGGGAAGAGGTTATCAATAGTGGTTCATACTATCACAGTGTGAACCCCTGTGTCGTGGATTCAAATGAAGGTAGCAGTAGCCAACGAGGAGTCCGGGGCCCTATTGATAGATATGTCATCGATGTCGAAGGTGATAATAAGCAAACTCCTGTAGGCGAAAAAGAAGCAAGAGAAAAGTGTTGCTCGGATGTTGGGAGATTTTTTTTCGAGAATGGTATTCCATTTAATGTTGCCAATTCACCTTCATTTATCAACATGTGCCGTGCAATCGGTAATTATGGACGGGGTTTCAGGCCACCTTCAGCTTACGAGCTTAGCCATTGGATTCTAGATGAGGAAGTGAAGACAACTGAGAAACTTGTTGAGGAGGTGAAGTCGACATGGACACAAACAGGAGTGTCTATATTATCCGATGGGTGGAAGGATATGCGTGGAAGACAGTTGATTAACTTTCTAGTCAATAATCCTTATGGAACAGTATTTTTGAAATCAGTTGATGCCTCAGCTCATGTCAAAGATGCAAAGATGTTGTGCAAGTTTCTGGATGGTGTTGTGGAAGAAGTAGGGGAAGATATTGTTACTCAAGTCGTAACTGATAACGCCTCCAACTATAAAGCGGCTGGCAAATTGTTAATGGCGAAGCGACAACGTCTTTGGTGGACACCTTGTGCGGCTCATTGTATTGATTTGATACTTGAGAAAATTGGAGAGCTCCCACAACACAAGAATGCACTAGCAAAGGCCAAGACTGTAAGTAATAAATATAAAATTTAATTATCATTTAAAATTTCAAATTTAAGTTAATTATTAAAATAAAAGTAGGACTCGTGTCAATTCAATTGTATTAATATATTATTTTGTTATAGGTCATTCATTATATATACAATCACGGATGGGCACTGACTTTGATGTGACAAATGTTAAAAAGAGATCTTGTTCGTCCAGCTGCCACACGATTTGCTACCGCATACCTTACGTTGCAAAGCATGCATAATTCAAAAGATGAATTAGAAGAAATGTTTGTTTCTAAGGAATGGTCATCTCATCACATGTCTAAAACCGCAGAAGCAAAGAAGGTGAAACAAATTGTGTTGAGGGACAATTTTTTTGGGCCAAGCGTGGTGTATGCAATCAAAACAACAAAGCCTTTGTTTACTGTGTTGAGGATGGCAGACTCGGAAAAGGTCCCTGGTATGGGGTTTTTATATGGTTCTATGGATCATGCAAAAGAAGAGATAGCTAAAAACTTGGGCGGGGATGTGACTGCATATAAAGAGATTTGGAGCATAATCGATGAGAAGTGGGAATTTCAGATGCATCGTGATTTGCATGCAGCAGCTTATTATCTTAACCCTCGTTACCAATATGATCCCAATATGTCCAATCATCCAGAGATTAAACTTGGTTTGTTTAATTGTGTGGCAAAAATGTTTCCTGATCGAGAAGTTCAGGAGAAGATACATTTGCAGATGGATGATTATCGTTTGAAAAGGGGATTCTTCGGCCATGATGTAGCGAAAAGCACAGTTGATAAACGTTGTCCTGGTATGAAAAGTTTATTAATATTTTTTACTTTAATTTTTTATTACAAATTAATAATTTTAATTATGTTACTCTAGTGGACTGGTGGTGTCAATATGGGGATCAAACACCTGAATTAATGGCTTTTGCTGTGAGGGTGTTGAGTCTTACGTGTTCGTCATCTGCCTGTGAGCGCAATTGGAGCACATTTAATTAGGTATTAAATCATTGTATAAATAATTATTATAAAATATTAGTTAACTAAGTAAATAATAAAGTTTAACTAATATACTTGTAGATACATACCAAGAGAAGGAATCGTTTGCATACGCATAATTTGAACAAGTTGGTGTTTGTGATGTATAACAAGAGACTAAAGACAAAGTGGATGAGAAAAACATCACTTAAAGAAGACATTGATCCTTTTGTGATGGATGAGATTCCATCAGATGATGAATGGGTTATCGATGAAGATGAGACAAATCCTGATGTTGCTCGTGATGATGATTGTGATGGTGAAGCTAGTGCTGGACGTTCTTTAAGTCAAGAACTTGTTCGTAGCAGTGGAAAGGGCTGCGAGCAAGGACGGTTGAGAGGAAATAGTCAAGGTCAAAAAAGAAAGCGACATGATAAAGGAAAGGGAAAATTGCATTTGATCGATGAAGATGAAGAATTGCATAGTGATGATACTGATTTCGATTTTGACCTTGATGAGGATGAGGATGAGGATGAAGGAAATGTTGGTGGTTATGATCCTTATTTCAGACCACTAGATAGTGATGATTCGATTTTTCAATCATCAATCTAATATGTTTAGGATTATTTTACGATGTTTCAGAATTTTTTGCTATTATTCAGGATTCTTTTTCCTAAGATTGTTACAACATTTGATTTGTTTTGATATTGCATTTGCCGGTTTCTCTTGAATAATGTTTTTTGATATATACATATATCATATATATATATATATATATTTATATTTACGCCTCAGCTATACGCCTCATTGCGCAATGAGGCTTACGCAATATGCAATTCTAAAAATCCGCCATGATTACGCAATACGCAATTACGAACATTGGTTCTGGGTTGGATGTTGTTTGCATTTTTTGCCATATTTATGGCAATTATGTGTATAGTGGCATGTGGCAATGCTACGATGGAAGAAAAACTTTTCTTTTTATACACATTTCAAAATATTGCCAACTTCATGGCAGATTTAATAACTACATTATGGCAATATTTCCCTTTTTTCTATTATTTGGTATCGATTTTTTTATCTACCCACATTGACTTCATACTTTGATTTCTTATTTCGTCATTAAACGTCTAATTTCATTTAAAAATCAGAATGATCTGATTTTGGATATTGCGTGCAAATTTTGCCAAATTTGGGGAAATTAATTGGATATTAGCAATTACATTGTGGCAGAAAAATATTTCTTTTGTACTCATTTGAAGATTTTGCCAACTTAATGACAGTTATGGTACAAGTTTTGCCAACTTAGTGGCATTGATGGTGATGGCGCTGGGATTTGCGGTGGTGGTGATGGTGGAGGGCGGCGGCGGCCGGTGGTGGGCGACGACGGTTGATTGAGGGTGGCAGCGGCATAGTTGGTAGAAGGCGTCAGCAGCCCAATACCGTAGCTAGGGTTTTAAAAATGTCTTTTGATTTTTAAATTTCAATTGTAAATATATCATTAAGGGTAATTCTGTCAAACCAATGTATTTTTAGTCCTATGAAACATGTAAGTCCTATTTGTGCATTTATTCATTGTTTTAGTCCTATTTAGGGAATTAACTCTTTAAACTTTGCATTTTTTAACCATAATTGTGCATATCCGTGAACCATAACGTGCATTTAATAAGTTCAATCCGGTGATACTCCAAATTAACTCTATTTTAGCCACTGGATAATATTCAAAAGATCAAATCAACAAAGTGTAATTGTTTATCACTTTTGAGGGATCCGAATACTGAGCCATTTTGGTATTATCACTTGGTACCAGATTCTTCTTGATTCCAAATTTGTAGTGAAACGTACGCCTGCTTGAACAAACAATTTTTCCCTTCTACACACGATGTAAATTTGGAATATTACATGGGGCAGAATTTAGGGCAAAACCAGAACTTCAGAGAGTCATTTGATGTTGCAGTAGCCAGAGCTGTTGCAGAAATGAGAATTTTAGGTAAGTATACTTTATCATCTTTATTTGTATATTAATTTTGCATAAATCTATATATAGTTGTCATATCATTGATTGTTCAGCTGAATATTGTATTCCTCTTGTTCGTGTTGGTGGCTTGTTTGTTGCCGCAAAGGGTCATGATCCTCAGGTTCGTCTACTATCCTTCTTTCGATAGTTGAAACAAACAGAACCTGTTTTTCTTTCTTGAATGCATTTCCTGTTACATGAGTTTCAAAGTGCTTCGGTGACTAGTTTAGTTAGTGTTGCTGACTCATGGTAAAAGAATGAAAGATTCCTCATCTCTTACCCAACATTTCCAGAAGAAATGTTTGTTCCTTTTTACCTATATGGCAATATACTGCCATATAGGCAATATACAATAGTACTCCTATTTAGGGAGACCACATTGTTTTTTATTCCTATTCAGGGAATTTTCCTTAAAATAATCTCTCCCATAATAACAATCAAATTAGTATTAATAATCCATTTTTACATTCTTAGAAACTTCTCTAAAGTTTTACTGAAGGGAAACAATCAAATATGAATATGACGAAGGTACACAAAATCAAAGAATAAAAGGAAATTATGTCGACCACAAGAATAGTAAAGTGCCTCTCTGACCAGCCTGCAAACTACAGTTTCATGGCTTACAACAGATTTAACACATAATAATGTAATGAATATATACATATAGTAACACATACCGTCATCCAACTAGTTTGTGGTTGTCGATTATAGTTGACTTGAGTAGTAGAACCTAAGTGAATGAGAACTATCCAGTTTCCCTTTTGAACGTGTCCAACAGGAGGAAGTGAGAAGAGCAGATACAGCAATACATTTGATGGGTGCAACTCTATTGCAAACATGCTACGGTATGCTGATTTAGTAGGTTTCAGATTTGTTTGTACTTGATGTGGATAGGTGTATACCCCATCTTTCATATCTGATAAAGTTTCAAACTTCCAAGAAATAATGTTCCAATGAATTTTGAATGTTTCATGTCTTACTAGAGTTTAACCATATCAATCACAGTTTAGTTTCTCACCCGTCTCTACTGTCTTTATGCTAATCTTAACACAATTTTTTAATCTTCTTTTTTCGAAATCCAGTTGATTCACACAGTAAGTATGGGCAGAGAACTGCCATCGTTTGTGTGAAAAGTGGTCCAACCCCAAAGAAATATCCCAGAGATCCCGGAACTCCAGCGAAGTCACCACTTTAACAACGGTTATTATTAATTCTCACTTCTTATGTTACGAGTTGTTCTCATTTGATCCACATTCTATACATATTTGTTTGTACGTATCAAACGAATGTGATAAGTGGCTATGTTAGAGGTGATTACCTATGTGTATGTATATAAGAGATTTTGCTTTTGATAAAAATTAATACTCCTTCCACCCCATATGCTTGTTAATAGCTAAGTGGTTTTAATTCATTTATACTTTATTCACACTTTATCAATTAAGTATACCAACTACACAATTTCATTTTTCTTAATAACCAAATTATTCTCTTTTGTCTCAACTCTCAACTAGTGTTGAACTTCGGCGTTTCCCCGATGATGTTTGTACTTCTCATATGTGATTTTATTTTATAACTATAAATGATTTTTAAAACTTATGGATTTGGGTAATCATGGGTGACATGTAGAATTGATGAAACCCCTCTTAATATATAAATTATGACATGATTTCAAAATAACAATTAATCACCCATTTCATACTCTATAACTCTAATTCAAAATAACAAAAGATTTCTTAGGGTTTAAGTAAACATGCACATAAATCTATCTAGATATCTAAATGTTAAAATATTAAAGACTTTTGTTTTATCCAATCATTAAATTTGTTATTACAGAGTAACACATATGTGACTCATCACACCACATGACATTTTGATGTATCATTTGAGTTATATGGGGATTGGAGATAATCCGCATAAGCTACATATTAAGGGGATTTCACACAATAAACTCAAAAGTATATGACAACTTAAGAAGTGTTTGCGATTGCTTATACTTTTTTTATGGGAAGAAAGTGACTTTTATTGAATAATCAGAATTCAGAAAAGATAAAAAAAGACAAAATGTCCCTTTCCGATCGTCTGGCTTTGAACCAGATTCAGAGTCCATCATCTCCAAAAAGCAATATGACTCACCGATCCTATAATAGGTTTAACTGAGCCAATGACGGATGTAATAGACCTTTCATCGGTCAACCTAAACTCTAGAGTTTTGCTAATGAAAATAAAGAAAACAATCAAAACAACATTTAGTTCGAACCGAAAAATAAATAAGAGCAAGATAATTAATGACAATACCCCCTCCTTTCCGCCGGAACGGAATAGGCAAAGCTCCCATTTTTATTCTTTTGCCCTTTTATGTTTGCGATATGTATGAGGATTGTACTACAAGCGTCCGTACTAGTGTAGGGAGGACTGAAGAGTTCCCTATTACTATCGGAGTGCACCAAAGATCGGCCTTGAACCCTTTCTTATTTGCCATAGTCATGGATGAACTTACGAAGTCAATTCAAGACGATATACCGTGGTGCATGATGTTTGCCGACGATATTGTATTGATTGATGAGACGCTATCAGGTCTTAAAGCAATGTTGGAAGTATGGCGACAAACATTGGAGAATAAGGGTTTCAAACTAAGTCGGAGCAAGACAGAGTACATGGAGTGCAAGTTTGGTGGAGGTAGAAGCAGTGGTAATAGCAGAATTACTCTGGATGGTAAGGAGATACCAGTCAGCGACATGTTCCGTTACTTGGGCTCCATAATTCAGAAGGACGGTGAGTTAGATGGAAATGTATCCCATAGAATCAGAACAGGGTGGATGAAGTGGAAGAGTGTGTCAGGATTTCTATGCGACCGAGGTCTGCCGACTAGATTGAAGGGTAAATTTTATAGGAAAACCATTAGGCCTGCATTACTATATGGCGTAGAGTGTTGGGCGGTGAAATAATGTCACATTCAAAAGATGAGTGTGGCAGAGATGCGCATGCTGCGTTGGATGTGTGGGCATACTAGGAAGGTCCGCGTAAGGAATGAGACAATCAGACAAAGGGTGGGAGTAGCACCTATTGAAGACAAGATGCGGGAGTCGCGCCTACGATGTTTTGGTCATGTGCGTAGAAGACCGAGTGATGCACCTGTCAGACGAGTTGAGATGTGTGGAGAAGAGGCAGGGAAAAGAGGGAGAGAAAGACCCAAACAGACGTGGGTTAGGGGATTTCGAAGTGATATGCTTCTTCTAGGGTTGGATGAGGGCATGACTTTGGAGAGAACTAAGTGAAAGACGGGTATTCGCGTGAAGGAGTGATCTCGTATAATCTTTTTCCTTCATTTTTTCCTTGTTTTTATCCTTATATATATAAGCATTATTTGTAGCCTTTTTATTTTATCATTTTTATTTATGTATATTCATCTCTTTTCATATTATCTTTTTATAATAGCTTATCTTTTTTATCTTTATTTTCTTTCTTTTCCTTTTGGTTGTGATATCATGTATCGATTCATGTTAGTCGACCCCAATATCTTTTGGGACTAAGGCTTGGATGTTGTTGCCCTTTTATGTCTGCGAGCATGGCCTTTTCGTCTGTTTTGATTGAATTCATGACAATATCCCTCCTTGCTGCGATCCTTGTCCCCAAGGATCAAGCTTTGGAAACATTTTCTTGAAAACAATCCTTGACACTTGACAAGGGTGGTTCGGTATGGTATACCGAATATTTTCTCTCATACTTTTGTCATACCAAAACTTTCGATATACAAAATTTATATATCGTTATCTTATCGAAGTTTCGGTATACCGCATTTCATTATACTGAAATTTCGGTTCGGTAACGGTACAGTATCGTTAAATTACCATGCATGTCTCACAATACAACAAATTATCATAGACTAACGAAATATACTAAATCGGTGTTACTAGCGACATATTTAATCCATTATTAAAATGTTACAAAATACAATTAATAATCTATTGATGTCATATTTAATATGGAACCATAATTATTATTAGTATATTTAAGCAGTTCAACATGCCACGTATTAAAAAATAACACATTTTCCTAAAATGACTTGAACAATACAGATATAATCAAATCAGTAGTGATCTCTAACAAAAATAAATAAAATTATTCAAACAACATGGATATAAAATCATTTATTCCTAATATGATATGGTGTATTTAGTCATTTTTATAATTAAAAAAAAAATTGAATAAGACTTTCAGACAAAGTTGTGTGCCTTGACTCGCGGAATCCATGGATATGTGTAGATACACTGATCACATAAGTGTATCCTTTTTCACTCGTCAGCTACTCAGCGGCTCAGTCATCGCGACTCGTAAGCTCTTGGAACAAGATAGACTTTTCTCTTGGAACAATTAAAAGTAATTGTTGGGTAGGAAGTTGGTATGATATTATACCGGTATACCACGATATTTGAAAACATTTACCGTTACCATAACGAAATAAATCGGTGCGGTATGATACCGTACCAAAAATGATGGTATGTCAATATTCCGGTATTTTTCTTATGGTAAGTGCGGTATATCAATTTTCTGAAATTTTTGCCCACCCCTAGTCCTTGATACCCATCCTTCAATAGCTCTCCCACCAGAATCATGATTTAAGAGTAAGGTTACACGAGCAGAATCTGTAGGTTCCTTACAGATACCCGTGAGAGATGTTGGCGAGATGATGAAGCACCCAACTGAATCAATCGGAGGGATGGTTGTAGACAGTTCAGCTCGTGGATTGATAGAACGCTTCAAAAGCGATACATGGAATATCAGATGCATCTTAGCATCCTCACGTAATTCAATCCTGTAAGCCACTTTTCAATTCTTTCCAGTATGGTATATGGTCCACAATAGCGTGCCACTAACTTCTAGTTTTTCCTCAAAGACACTGATTGTTGTCTATATGATTGTAACTTCAAGAAAACTCGATCTCCCACATTAAATTCCATGTCCTACCTTCTATTATCAGCAAAATGTTTCATTCTTTCTTGGGCTAGTTTGAGATTTTCCTTCAATTCTTGTTTCACCATCTGTCTATGGTTTATAAGCTTCCTAACTTCATCAAGATTGGTTACGGCATAGGGTGTGGGTATGGATAATGTTGGGGGGGTATGCCCATATAGGGCCTCAAATGGAGTAGTTTTTTGTGTTGGTGTGATAGTTGATGTTATACTAGTATTCAGCTAAGGGTATCCATTGTACCCATTGTCTGGGGTTCTGGTGAGTCATAGCCCTTAGGTAGGCTTCCAAACATTGGTTCAATCTCTCAGTTTGTCCGCCTGTCTGTGGGTGGTAAGCTGAAGTGTAGCTTAAATGAGTCCCCATGAGTTTGAATAGTTCTTTCCAAAACCCACTCAAGAAGACTGCATCTCTGTCATATAGAATATCCATAGGTTGTCCATGTAACTTGAATACATTATCTAGAAACACCTTAGCTATTGTGCTTGCTGTATAGGGATGAGATAAGGGCAAGAAATGTCCATATTTAGTGAGTTATCTATTACCACCATATTAACGTATTTACCCTGGGATTTAGACAACCCTTCAATGAAGTCCATCTTAAGTGGCTCCAAGCTTGATCAGGAATAGATAGGAGTTGTAACAGCCCTGGGTAGGGTCCCCTTCTGGTTTTGTCTTGGCACACACTTCACACTCCTTTACCCACAGTTTAATATTGCTCTTCACCTTTGGCCAATAAAATACTCTCTTGATCCTCACATATGTCCCATGTATCCCAGAATGTCCTCCCACTGCATAAGCATGCAGCAGCAGGTCTGCGGGTAGGGTTGGAGCTGCGATAATCACCATCGGCATTTTTTGAAGGCTTCAACGTTTTACTATTTCTATTTTGTTAGTTCTATGACATGCAATAAGGAGGGTAGTTGGTGTTTTGGTTTGATTTAGGTGTTAGATTTCTGATTGGCGGCAATCAGGCTGATTCAGTCGCTAATAGCCTATTTGCTCTCATAGTTTCAACAATTAGTCCCGCTCTTCTTGGAGTGAACTATTCTATGTTTGATCATGACGTGAGAGTAGAGTTGTAAACGAATCGAATCGAACCGAATAGTGAGTAATATTATTCGTATTCGTATAAATTGACGAATATTCGTATTCGTATTCGGATATTATTCGAATCTTACAATAGATTCATATTCAATTCGTTTATTGTATTTGAGTATATTCATATTCGAATTCGAATTCGAATATTCTAATTCCAATTCAAATATTTGAAGTGTCAAAAAAATTCACCTATTCAAATTATGACTCATTTTGGGCATTTTTCGATTTTCACAAATGTCTATTAAATGAATTATTTCAAAAATTCAATTACTTCAAAACTTAATTGCTAAAAAAACACACACA